AGAAAGAAAAAAACAAGAGAAAGACAAAAAAAGACAGGGACATAAACAGTTACCAAAATGAGAAAAACAACACAAAAAAACGTTGCAAATCAGGCTGGCGCGCCGATCAAAACACACAACCATAAGCGTATTGAAAACGTTTAGAAACAAGTAGGCAATTAAAGACACACACACACACAATACCTTGCATGCAATTGCTGCTAATTGCTTATCGCCAAAGGAAAGAGGTAGGTGTGAGTGAAGAGAAGGGGGAGGGGTAGGTAGAGAGGGAGGGGGGAGTGAGAGATAGAGGGAGGGGGAGGAGGAGGAAGGGGAGGGGAGGAGGGAGGGTGGGAGAGAGGGGAAGAAGAAGGGGGAGAGTTGGAGAGGGGGGGAGAGAACAAGGGAGGAAGGAAGAAGAGAGAGGGAGGAAGAAAAGAGAGGAAGGGTGGGAGGGAGGATGGAAGGAGGAAGGTAAGATGGAAGGGAAAGAGAGAGACCAAGAGAATGAAAGAACAAAGGAAAGATAAATAAGAAATAAGAAGACGAGATATGAAAGGAAAAAGAAGACACAAGAAACAAAGAATAAATAAAGAATACATGAAAACATAAGAGAATATAGAGGAGAGAAGGGAATAGAAAGAAGAAAAAGGAAAACAGACAAGAAGGAGAGGAGAGAGAACAAAGTAGAAGCAAAGACAAAGAAGAAGAAAATATGTTGATTGCCTCCTAAGTCATCAAACAAGTAACTTGTTTGCTCTCCACATCAGTCCCTCATAATCTCTAAATCTCGTCTTTTATCTATCAATATCTATCTCCTTCCTTGTTATCACAACAGGTTTTATTTGTAAGCTTTCTCGTCTTATCGCTAACACTATGTTTTATTTTTATGCTTTATCTTGAGATCAGATCCTGAACCTTTTATAAGCTGAGCATGCACACACATATTATATTATATATATGTGTGTGTTGTGTGTGTGTCTGTGTGTGTGTGTGTGTGTGTGTGTGTGTGTGTGTGTGTTGTGTGTGTGTGTGTGTGTTGTGTGTGTGTGTGTGTGTGTGTGTGTGTGTGTGTGTGTGTGTGTGTGCCTGTGTGTGTGTTGTGTGTGTGTGTGTGTGTGTGTGGTGTGTGTGTGTGTGTGTACACGAACATAATACTGATAACCAAACGCCCCTTACCAAATAGGTTTTATTCCTTTCTTTTTTTTTCTTTTTTTTTTAACAAAACATATACTCCATGACGAAGCAAATTCAGTCCTTATTCCCACCTCATTTGCATGGCATTTTCACCACCGCGGGTACATAATTTGGGGCATCGTCCTTACCTAACAGATTTAAAAGCTACGAAAGGAGGGGAGAAAGTGCCGACCGGGGGAGGGGGGAATCTTAGGAAGGGTCGAAGGGAACCGCCATCCAGGGAGGGAGGGAAGGGAAACCTAGAACCATCCAATTCAGGGGAGAGAAAAGGAGGAGGGAACATCACCCATCCAGGGAGGGAGTGAAGGAACCTGGAACCCCAATTCAGGGAGAGAAAGGAGGGAGGGAACATCACCCAATCCAGGAGGGAGGGAAGGAACCTGGAACCCCAATTCAGGGAGGGAAAGGAGGGAACATCACCCATCCAGGGAGGGAGTGAAGGAATCTAGAACCCCCCCCCCCCCCCCCAATTCAGGGAGAGAAAGGAGGGAGGGAACATCACCCATCCAGGGAGGGAGGGAAGGAACCTTGAACCACAATCTAAGGAGAGAGAGGAAGGAGCATCACCCAATCCACTCGGGGGGATCTCGGGGCGTGTCCTGCAACGTGCAATCATCGGCACATGCCGTTGTGTGGTTGTTCGTGTGTGTGTGTGTGTGTGTGTGTGTGTGTGTGTGTGTGTGTGTGTGGCGGCCCGGTCAGTGCCGCTGTGTGTGTGGTGTGTCCATGTGTTATGTGTGTGTGTGTGTGTGTGTGTGTGTGTTGTGTGTGCTGTTCGTGTGTGTGCGTGTGCGTGCGGTGTGCGTGCCGTGTGTGTACGTGCATGTGTACATGAATGTACG